AGAACACTGGAGAAAAACATTTTATACAACTTCCTCAAAACAGCTTTTCAAAATGTACTTAAAATAGTACTCAATCCAGATTTCCAGACTGAATCTATAATTTAAATACCAAGCCTTGTCATTTCTAATAGTTATCACTGCTGAACACCACTGATGTAAGCTATCATAAATATATAAGGCCTATCTATACATTTATGTTCCCCTAAAATTGGTCCAAAAAGCAAATGTTGCTTTTTTATTCAATTAACAATGTGAAAGTCTCTATGGAAAAGTAAATTCCCAAGGGTGGTCTCCAAAATTGTTAATTCTAAGACTAACTTGAATACAAAGAAAAAATTGATTTACTTATTAGCTGAGCCTAATTTCAATGCATATGGCTTTGGTAGATCAGATTTCAAGGCAAGCTCATCTCAGATTTCCCATTTCACAAACAAGTAAACCTACTCAAAACATAAGACCTACCAAAACTTCCTTGATGTTTTTCAAACACTACTTCCTAAGATGATATTTTTCTTGAACAAATCTCCATTTTTCTTAAAAATACTAATACCTACCAATTTTACACATTTCTTAAGAATTTTAATTCATTTATTTTAATTTATCTCTGTAATACAAAAATAGAATAAATAGAGTCCATCTTCCTATTTCATAGATGATGGGTGTGACAAATGAGTCACAGAAAATCACACATTTAGGATATACCTAGTTCATGTCAGGAGTCTGAGTAATTGGTTAAATAATTTTTCCAATTCACCAAAAAGTCAGCCAAAAATGTGAGGATGGTAATAGTGAAAGGCAAATTTGGTACTTAAACGATAATTGTTTCATTGATTTCAAGGATAATGTAAGTTCTACAGCTGATCATTTTCATGCTGGCATACTAAAAAAAGTTAATCCACATAAAATTAATTAGGTGCTTACTAAGTAACAGGGACTGATCTACATGGTTAGAATAGATACAGCAGCAAATCTATGCCCTCATAGAGCCTACGTCTTCAAAAAGAGACAAATACATAAGCAATTAATAGACTGGCAATAAATAAGTAAGCTTATATATTAAAATGAAGTAGATAAGAAAAAAACAGAAAAAAAATGAAGTTGGGTAAGAAGGGCCATGATTGCTGAGGGTGGAGTGAGTGTAGTATTTATTATGTTGCTCAGAACAGGCATCACTGAGAAAAGGAGATCAGTAGATATACCAGCAAAGAGACAAAAGCCAGGGACAAAGTCCCACAGACGATCCTGGTGTGTTCAAAGAACAGGAAGGAAGCCAATGTGACTGAAGCAGTGCTGGCCAGCAAGAGAGTTGTGTGCAATGTCAAAGAAAGAATGAGAAGACAGATCACGCAGGGCCTTGGAGGCAGCCACAAGAAATCCTATTATGGGGTTTTGACCAAATGAGTAGTGTCATCTAACTTAAATTTTTAAAAGGATCTATTATTAATCATCAAATACTTTAAAATTTTATAATCTGATACGTTCTATAACCTTTGTCATATGTCTGAATTCCAATATATTCTCTTCCCCAGATTAAAATATGATTCTCATTTTCCCAAAGAAAATATCAAATCTCAGGATGTCTAAGTAACTTCTCCAAGATAAGATCTAGCAAGTAGCAAAATAGTAAAAGGAAAAAAGAATTAACTTAGAGTTAAAAACAGTTTACTCTTTCCTAACTATTCATTAATGAAAATAATGACAGAGATTAATCATCCAGATTACTCAATAGGGATGTTCATTTTGTTGGAACTGAATTTGACCTCATTTTCACTTATTAAATTCTAGGACTTAATAGTAAAAATAATTTCCTGAGCTATTACATACTTAAAGTTGGGCTAAGAATTTGGAATGCAGAAGGTACTCACAACAATTTAAACTTGCACCGGTAGGTTTTTCAAAGCCTTTAATTATTATTTATTAACTACTATATGACAGTTACTATGTAACTTCACTTGACGTATCATATTTATCAAAATAATGGTAAAAGGAATGCTCTTTTACAGATAATAAATGTGCATCAAGAGAAGTGAAATATTAAAAGATTACACAATGACTAGGCACAAAAGCTAGGATTTGACCTACATCTCTACAATGTAAAGCCAGGTTGTCTCACTGAACCATGACAACTGCTGCAGCGTGATACTCAACATGTCACCTCAACATTCCTAACTAAAAGATCACCCAGACATGAATTGTCTAATCTTCCAGATGATTAACTGATAATAGAAAAGTTAACCAAGCAACCAACATTTATTTTACGGCCAAAATATGCACATCAATATTCAGTTGGTGAAATCACAGATGATTTATGATACCATATCGTGCCTCAGTGAGCTTACAATCTTATGATGGTAACAAGAGACATGTAAAAATGTAAAAAATAATACAAGATAAACATAATAAGTCTCAAATGAGATATAGAACCAACAACTGCTAAAGAAATTCAACAGAGAGAAAACTGAATCTGGGTGCTTCATTTCACTTAAGAAAGATCTTAATAGGGCTGGGGATTTAGCTCAGTGGTTCTGCTGCCTGCCTTGCAGGCCCAAGGTCCCATGTTCGATCCCGGGTACAAAAACAAAAAAGAAAGAAAGATCTTAATAAAAGAACTAGTGTTAAGATGATTTATACAAAAAAGTTATATTTTCAATTAGCAGAAAAGAGGAAAAATAATAATATGATCAAAGGCCAGAAGAGTAGATGGGAATGGATTATTAAGAGAAAAAGAAATATGGTTGAAATGTAAAATGGATGGGAGTTGACATAAAATGGGAAAGGAAGCCAGGGAAGTACACTATGAAAAATCTTATGAAATTGGGAATCTAGGGGAGGAAGGAAGGAATTGATATCTGCTGAACTGCTAATATGGAACACAAGCTTTGTGTATGGTACTTTAGTTTGTGTAATTTTCCCAGCAACCTCAGAAGATAGAAAAGTAAACATACCATGGTCATTTTAAATCAAAGCAAATGGACATCATGTAGTCAAGGCACGAAGTACAACTCTAGTCAAGATCTGTTTGCCCCTCAAGTCTATGTTCCTTTCATTATTCTTCACCACCATCCTCCAAAAGTAATGGGAAGCCACCAAGGGTATTGATTCAAGAGAAGTGCTTCCCTTGTGAATACCAGTGTGAGACTAAAAGGTTAATTAATCAGGCTATGAGATATTAACATACTTTCAGTATCAGAGGACTGGAGAAGGAAGACAGTAAGCCAAGAAAGGCACTTAGTATATTACATAAACTCAAATAACAAGGTAATGAAAATCTGTATTTGAGTGCAAGCAATGAAAACATTAACAAATGGAAAAGTTACTTTTTTAAAAAAGAAATATGAAAAGGTCAACGGAAATATTCAAATCCTGAAACAAGTACTGCAGTTCCTACTGCTGAACCTATAAACCAGGAGGCAAATTTTCCTTCAAAAAAGGAAAAGTCCAAGGTCAAGTTTGAATATTTGAAGATTTTTTATTTATTTCAAAATAATAACATCTATGTCAAAAAATGATCTGCTCTAATGTAATATACAACTTAAAACACTATCATAAATTATGACAGCTCTGATGTTGGCTTTCTTCTCTTACAGGATTTTGGCAATACTTCATTCCCTCATTTGCTATCACGGACAGCAATTCTTTATCTCATGCTCATTAGACATATGATTTACTAAAGAGATATGCTGTTCCTTTTGAGTTTTTCTTTTAGAACTTAGTATATACTAAAAAGCTGAATTTTCCATTAAAAATGCAATGTGTCATAAATGTGAACATTATTCCTTCCTCGGACATCTCCCTTAAAAGGATTCAAGGATTAGGATCACAAAGTAAGAGTAATTAAATGGTATATTATTTAACAACAAACTTGGTGTATTCTTACTCCTGGACAATCCAGACTGCATATTTTCCAAAGAAATATATATTTAAAATGAACAACCACCTATATTTCTCAAAGGAATCATTTATATCAATTTTCAGGCTTGTAGTCAGTCCATAGCTCTTTAAACAATTTAGTACGGCCAAGTTGCTAAACCTGGCAATAACCAGGCTAACTGTATAAATCATTGATCAATATCAAATATTCATCCAATTTGTCTTAATGTTTAATTAATTGTCAAACTAAATACCTAATTTATGGGCAAATGTGTATATTTATAACATGTAGGTCTTATAATTAAGGTATCTAATTTAACAAATATTATATATTCACCCTAGAATTCAAGAGTACCAATATTTTGGCTCAGAATCTCTCCAGGAATTGCACATCTGACCTAGTTTTTACCTAACTCCTCAGTATTACCTAGCAATGCTAAAGGATAATAAAAATTTAACATATTAACCAGGCCTAATTTCCTTTTGCTTCACAAATAAAAATATACCTTTTTCTGAGTTGAAAATTAATCTGTAACTTTGAAATCAAATGGTGCCACAACTCAATAATTTAGGCTTATAGCCAATGTATATCCACAATGTTTTTGAAAGCTTTAAGAAAGTAAACTTGTGCTATACTTCAGAAAAGCAACTTTTCATGTAGAAAATGACATTATTATATAATTCTGAAAAGTATATTTGTTCAAATACAATCCAGATATTCTTTTATTTTTATAAACCTTATGTTTTCATATCTAATATGAAAACAACCATATGTAAAATATGATGAAAGTTACTACACAAGCATATTTGCTCAATAATGTTAAATTTTTACATACTCTAAAATCAAAACCTTGGTCATTAGAAATAAATTAATTTGAAAGCTATGCATGAAAAAGTCTGTGCTCCATTCGACTTTAGGCATTCTATAAAAGATATGTTAAATACAGTATGTATGTGGAAAAAGGAATCAGATAAAGTTTATTAAATATACCTTACTTTCTATTTTCTATGATATTTAGTACATAGCAATGCATTAATATATAAATTGTATTCAAAAAAGAATATTACCCTTAACTTTTAAAAAGTATTATTCTGTGAGAGTTTTTTTTTTAAAGGAAAAGTATTTTTACCTCCCAGTCCTGGTCTAAGCCGATTATCATAACCATCCAGAAGTCTGTCTAGAATTCTCGTGAAGATGGTAATGTTATTTTTAGCCTCATCTTCTTGGATGTTAGCCAGGACCAACCTAAACAGATAATTTTACAAGCTGATATATACACATACATGTGTTTACAAGTGCCAACATCTTCTTCTTCCTTGATTTGAATTTAAGGCTCCTGAAGCTATTAGTACAACTTTTTTTTTCTCCTTTTTCATTTCTGTAAATGCCGGTATTCTGTGGGGAAAGTAAACACGCCACTGAAAATGGATATTGAAAATGGAAGTTTACAGATAAAACCAGTTAGTATTTCTACCACTTAGCATTGTACAAGGACAATTCTCTATTTTTTTCTAAAATTCTATTGTCAAGAATATATTATGATCATGGATTATCACATATAGAAATTATTAGTAATGTTATTTTATAGTTAGTATAATAATCAGGGGACTGCAAAATAATTCTTCAGTGTTCTGAATATTAATCAGAAAATAAATTGCTTGTTGGACAGTTGAAAATATCCAAATCTTCTTTGTAAATATCTTTCTGGTTCTCTTTATGTCTTGTGCTCTTTCAAATCAAGATTGTTTCCTTACTTTGGGCATACCTCCACCCAATGGCCAAGTGCAATATAGACATCAGGGAAACTCCACTGGCTGTGTGGCAGCCTCTGCAGTAGCCAGGAGGTGGAGGGGGCTCCAAAACCCTCATCAGCAGACACAGCTGTAGAAAGCCTAGAGGAACAGTACCTCCCGCCTGGTGTCAGAAGAGCAGTAAGGGGCCATGTAGAGATTAACATGCCCAGATACTCTTTTCTTGGTGAAAAATTTGTAAGGAGAATAAATGGTCTTAAAATATCATGTTTAGAAACAGGACTTTTTCTCTATTATTTCATCATCATAAAGCCAGAGACCTGATTTTGTGACATCCAGTGATTTGGTGCAGAAGCAATGAATGCATAAAATAGAATGTCCCCTTTCACTGCCATTTTTTTTTCTCAGAATGATTCAGAGATTTAAATTACTGGCCCCCAAAAAGAATCATTTATATAATAGAATAAAATACTGGCATGAGCATCACTGGTTAAACAGAGAACAGAAACCTAGTAGAGAGAAACTGAGTTAAGCATGAGGATTTTCAATCATTTTTGATTGACCATAGATTGTTCATGCTTCTGAAATCAAAGATCATATGTAATTACATTCTGATCAAAGTATATTATATAAAATATCATTAACAAAATCCATTTGCATTTAAATGAAAACAGCTAGTAGCTAAAAGCACTCATCACACATCAAAAAACTGGTAAGCAACTTCAAGGAAATATTGTTCTAAGAACAAATGTTAAAACTCTAATAAGAACACAAAACATTTTCAAGTTATTTAAGTAAATCAGTTCATAAATCCTCACCTCAAAAGTTTCTATACAGACCACTTTTTTTACAGACTGCTAATTTTTAAAGAAATCAGTAAGGTAGTCGCAAAGTTCCATGTAGAAATTTTCACTCAGAAGTGTTTAAATAACATTTCATATTTGTTTTCTAAAGTCAATATTCAGATGTTAAATGAGTAGGTGTTTTCCAGTGCAATACATTCTTTATAAATAAATTTTAATTCTAGAAAATACTTTCACACTTTTACCATTATTTGAACAGGAATATAAAAATTAAAGGGAATTAGATGAAAAACATTAAACAATGGTTACAAAAGCATTCTTAGAAAACATGCATATTAATTCTTCTGATATTGTAAAGGTATTAAATAAAAAAACCCACTGGTAATTTACAAATCAGAAAAGACTACAACTAAGATGAATTTATTTAAAGCAATAAAAGTTAATTCCATGTTTGTAGAACATAGGCAAAAGAAAATTAGTTACACATTTGAAATAAGTACTCCCTGGGACACTAACCATTTGAGTTATAAAAGATCTCTAAATTAATAATATGAAAAGTTGATGAATAAATCAAGCTTTTGTTTTATTTTGTGATTGTGAAGTTGTATACTACCTCCACCTAGAGGTTTAAGACTCACATGTCATTTGGGGTTTCTATGCTGACTAAAAGAGCCAAGACCATTTTAAAAAGGAAAGCAAAAGAAAAAAATTAAGTTACCACTCAAATCAGCTGGTACTTTTCTCTCACACTTGAAGGAAAATTTGGCTTCATTACTGAATTTTGGCGTTATAAGTGCATAAAACCATCACTGAAATTCCATGCGAGAATCTGCCATTGAAAGGCTAATCTTTGCTTCAGTGATTTTTTTCTTTGTATGAAAAATGCTTCTATTTACTTTTGCAACTGATTGCTTAAAAACAAGAAGCAGTGAACTTTTTTACAGTCTGCCACTTCATGCTTCACTTTCCTGTTACAATTCTTTATCCTGATTTTTTTAAAAAAGTATTCAAAACACCCTGATTTTCACAAACCACAGCTGCATCGATGGCATCCAAAACCCACAACTTCAACCTGAATTAAAAGGATCAAATACTATGGAATGTCTCACCTGGCTGGGTCCCATACCAAGAAAACGAGAAGGAGCGACTGCATGTTGGAGATGTTCAATTTCGCCTTCATCACCTCTCTGTGCAAAGCCATGGAAGAAAAAAAAAAGTATACTTAAAATTGCTTTCAGTCCCACCGCACAAGTAACCCAAAAGAATGTGATTTCAGGTGGGGATTGGAGTTAAGGCTATGAAATGACTTCTTTGGACTGAGTGTAGGGCATGATGAGAGGAGCGGGATTCTTTTTCCCAATATGCCAAGCTGACCAAATATTCCGTCTTTTTGCTCTGCCAAGAGCTTCCCCCAACCCCACCATCAACAAATACTGCTTTGTGCATACATGAAATAACCCCAGACTCCAACCTGACAGATGAGCTGGACAAGGGAACGGGCTGGAGAGCAGAGCGGAGAAGAGGAAAGATGGGCACTTTATACCACCTCCCCCTCCACCGAGACCACCCCCGCAAACACTGGGCGAACCGGGAGAGGTAATCAGCTCACTTTTCCAATGATTATTCTTTTCATTACAGTGAACCACCACGATCCTCATGTCTTCGCTTCAACATCAAATCAAATCGAAATTTCCCTGCCAATCCACGGTTGCCCAAGACCACGTCTCGGAGGCAGCCGGGTTCGGATCAAGTGCTGCGAAACGACGCGTTAGACAGCTGCTCAGGAGCCAACGACCACAATAAGCGAAGGGGCGCGAGGCTCGGGGTCCACAGGAGCCAGGCAGGCACCGGCTAGCCGCGTGCAAAGTTGGAGACTATAAAAGAGCCAGGCTAACGTGCTGCCAGGCAGGAGCTTGGATCTGATTGTAGTAGTTGCAAATATGTTTTGGGAATGAGTATTGAGATCATTTTTTAAAGAGGCTGGGGAGAAGAGGGGGACCTGAACCTTCCTCGGTTTCCAGGGAGCTCCCCGAGCGGAGTAGGGGGAGAGGAGACAGAGACAGACATGCACGCGAGGCGCAGGCAAGGGAAACCAACGTGTGCGACCCTACCTGAAATAGCAAGCAGAAGTGGATGTTTTCCTCCCTTTGCCCAGATCGTGAGGAGATAGGAAACTTGAGAGAGAGAGAGAGAGAGAGAGAGAGAGAGAGAGAGAGAGAGAGAGAGAGAGAGAGAGAGAGAGAGAGAGAAGGGCACTGCCGCAGCCGAGACCAGCTGGGAGCGAGGAGCTGGTGAAAGCCGGAGGGAGCGCGAGGAGGAGCGGCGGCGGCAGCGAGAGGAGTAGGAGGAGGCGAAGGCGTCTGTAGTGGCGGTGATGGGTGGAGGAGGAGGAAGAGGAGGAGGGGAGGCGATGGCAGGAGCTGGAGGAGGGGGGCGGAGGAGCGGTGCGCGCAGGCGATAGCGGGCACGAGCCTGGAGCCTGGAGGAGGAGCCAGGCTGGGGAGGAGGACTAAGAAGGTTCCCGGGAAGGCTGCGCCCCCCCACCCCCTCACTCCAGGGTAACGACCGCCGCCTTCCCTGGCAACTGCAGAGGAGCAGCCCGGGGCGGCCCTAGGAGCCCTGGTGCGCCGGGAGCGCGGTTCCCTGCGCCCACGCCACGCGGGAGGAGCGGAGCCCACGAGATTCAGGCGCTGCTCCTGGAAGCCTCTGAGGTTTCTGGGGGGCTGCTGGTGGGGATTGGTGAGGAGTTGGGAATGCAACGTGTCTGTGATTTCCTAGATTCCCAGGGCTACGCCCCGCCAGTTGTCCCCAATATCGCCCTGCTGTACGGCGGCGAGGCTGCCTCGAAGTGGTACCGAGGTTGCACTCCCGCAGGAGGGCGAGGAGACTCATCTCGCCTTTACTTAGTCATCAGCGCAAACACGCAGGGCCAAGTTCGACGCATGTTGCATGGAATCAGACAGCAGGAAGTTTCTTTGATTTCGTGAGCCCTCTTAATGTACCACTCATTCCTCTACACTCCTGCAGTCAGGACCAATTTCCCCTCAAAGCACGGAGGACAGGATGGGGACTTACCTGAGGCTCAGTAAAGTCCCTTTCCAGCGAGTACGCCTTGGGAAGTAGCTCCCTCCTTTTCAGCAATCCCTTTCCCCAACCTCTTTTCCCAGACCTTCTCCCCAAATGAGAGATCAAACTCCAACAACCTCCCTGAAAAGTTTCCACTACCCCAAAAGGGACCCGCTGTGCTTCTACTACCACCACCATAGTTCATTCCCCAGAGGGCAAAATGTGGAAGGGTTGGAGGTTCCCCCCTTTAGGGCTTTTGCTTGGAAGAGTCTTGTAATTCTAGTCCCATCGTATGCTTGCAGCATCTTGCAGCATCCTGTGTTTGATCTGTGTGATTTCTTTTTTATCTGAGGGGATAAAAAATCCAAACATGCAACTTGAGCCTTGAACGAGAGAGAAAATTTTTCTTTTGTACTGCACATAAAACAGGATGTTATGCACATTTTACTAAAGCAAAGCCCAGCCAGTGTTTGCTTCTTGCAGAAGTTGTTATAAACGTTAGACACTTAAGGAGGAAGAAAGAAAGAAAGAAAGAAGGAAAGAAAGAAAGAAAAGAAAACATATGCTATGACAGAAAGTATGCTATGTTTCTGTCATTTTGCATTCAGAGTCAGTGTGTGCCAAACACTTCAATTCTGTCAATTATGCACCAAAATTTTAGATGTTTTTCCAGGATGATGCAGTTTTTTAAAAAAAACACTCTTATTCTACAATTAAATTTTAGCCTTTGCTTTGAAACTAAAAGAAGAGAGTAAAACCTTTACATGAAAAATATATCAAGCTGTCCTTTTTTAACTTATTAGTGATCACTTTCTGAATGAGTGTTGGATAGGCTACAGTCTAAACAAACATTCGCTCTCCTGTTTAGTTGTCTTTGTGAAGAACCGAATACCACCCAGCTTTCTCCTCCATCATTAATATTCCTTTCCTGACTTGCCCATTGTAGAGTCTAATTGAAATTCACAAATATAAAAAGCATGCCATTTAAAACCATGCAACCAGGGAATCTTAAGGTCTTATATTTGGCTAGAGCACTTCACTTCCTACTGCATCTTCCTCTTCTATTTCTGTGAGTCAATATTCATTAGGATTTCTCTGCTCTACCATTTATATTACTACTAAAATTGTTTATGTATTGATAATGGAAGTTGAACAGTACATCGTTTCTTCCCAGTCTTAATTGCTGTGTGGCAACAAAGTTTCTATTTTATGAATGTCACAATTTTTGTAAATAAGAATAAGAGGAATAATAAGAATAAAAGGAGGCAGAAGTTTTGAGGGATCCTGGTTTTGCCTGATTGTTTCCTCTGCCTATATTTTAAATTATTGTACAATTTTACAATTTGTTTCCAAAACTGTTCATGTTTTTGAGCAGACATTTCATGTAGCTTCCATTTTTAGGGCTGTAGGGAACTACTGTGCTATATACTTTAAAGGGTTTCACAAATCTGTGAGGACTTATAAGATAACATATATATATGTTTTACATATATATAATAATATATTTTAAGAAAATAGGTTTCTATATGAATATAGTATACAGATGTGTATATGGTATGTATTTATATAGGTACCCAAGTGAATAAAAATAGACATGAGTATTTTAATAAGAATACCATTTAAATGACAAGTTTTTAAAAAATTTGTTTTTACTACTACAAGACTTGATTATGATGATTTTTACATACTTTGAAAACAACAATAATTAGAATTATTTCAAAAAGAAGATTTTACCATAACTAAAATTTTAAGAATATCAGGATATAAGAAACTTGTGTACACTCAAACTGCATCACTTTTTATGTGATTATTCATTCAAATGAGGGGTGTAAGTTTACAAAAAGTTAGGAACTAAGCCACAGATTGTCCTGCTTTCACAAAATTAAATGTTATCTTATACTTTTCCCCCGAGTGTCTGGCCGATTTCAAAATGTGCTTGGCATGTAAGTCTATTCTCACATAGTCACCCCATTACCCAAAGAAGCAAACAAAGGAACAAAAACAAAATAAAACTTGAGCAAATACCACTTTGGCAATTCTCAAATCAAAATCACAGCTTGATCAAGCTCCATTTTTCCTCTAAGTTCAAGTGAAATGGATGCTTAGGCTCCCAGACTCTGAAAGAATACCAGCTGGAAAGTGAGAGTAACTAGTCTTATAAACAAGTAATCTCAAAACTACTCTCTTGCATTAATGTATCTAGGTCACATTGCATTAGAGCTAAATATATCACGTATACCAGCTAAGATAGCTGTGTACCTTACCTTCTTCAAATAGAGTAACTCTTTTTAAAAAGTAATTTGAAAAATCCTTATCCAACTTGCAAGTAGACTATATCAAGCACTCAGGATATCCTGGAGATTTCTGATACTTTAAAAGCTTAACTGTTTGCATCATCACATACATACAGAATTATTTGTAAGGAATTTCTTTTGTTTTCCTTTTCTAAAATGATTGGTAGAATTTATTCTCAGATCATCCAATTGTTTTCTAAAACAAAGATAAATCTCTATTATTCAAATAAAAAATGTTCATATGGAAAAATCTACTATACATTTTATTGACAATAAGCTGCTACATGATCAGCAGCTTTAGTCTAAGATATGTCCTGCAAATGGCAAGCATAGTAAAGAAAATAGTAAACATAAACCTATAATGTCTTCATTTGTATAACAGCTTATATCCCATCTTAAATATGTTGTATATATTATCTCCTTTAATCTTCAAGACCAATAAGTAGGCTATCACTATTCCCATTTCACTGATGAGAAAGTTCTTAGCTCAAGGTTTCACACTGGTAGTAAGTGGTAATATGGCTAGTAGTAATAATATGGTAGTAAGCCATACAACATGGCTCCAGAATTTGCATTTTTAACTACTTTGGCATTTGCAATAATACCTCATGAGGCAAAATCATGCAGAAGAAGCCAGCAATATTACTAACAACAAAATCAGAGAACAGAAAGGGTCTAGGACCTAATTTGAGTCCATTTTCAAATACAGTATAGCCTCGGCTCACAGAACTTAATTTGTTGTACAATTTTGGAAAAGATGGCCACATTTGTGTTTGTTTGAGAAAGGTGGCCTTGGTTGTGCTTGTCATCCCATGCAGAGTTTTCAAATGAAAACAAAATTTTGTCAAACACTTCCATTTGTAAACCAAATTATTTGTAAACAAGAGCATTCCTGAACGAGGTACCACTGTATTTCAAGTAGGATAAATTAGGCTTCAGCTGAAGGATTTTTCCAATATTGTTTGCAGCATCAAACTCTCCCATTTTGAGGGGAAGAGAAGGTGACTACATTGGGAAGAAATAAGTAAAACACATAATTAGGCTATGAGTATTTCATGGTCAGTCAGAGACAGGAAAGAGAAAACAGAAACCAATTATTTCTATGAAGCTGAATAATGCTATGACAAATTAATTATGGATTTCAAATGATTTTAAATATAAGTGATTTCTCCTTTGTAGAGATTCTTTGTATTTGCCAGAGTGGCTTGTTCATAGATGCTCAATAAATAATTACTGACTTTGTGGAGTTAAGTACATTAGAATACAAACTAGGAAAGTGGTTTCAGAGTTAAATATGGCCAGATCTTGGGTGAGTGGTCTCACCTATAGCACAGGTAGCAATTCCAAAAGTGTTATCTCAAAACTCACTGTCCATTACTACATAAGTGTCTTTCTTCCTAAGTCCTCTCTTGTGGTGTTCTCTAATTTATTCCTTCCCCCGTCCAAATCCTGAAAACTAGGAGTCATCCTAGAATCTTTTCTCACCACCTATGAGGACCACACAAGCACATTTAATAGTGATGAAAAAGCACTACCTTTCTATCCATTATGCAACCCATTCTCTCCATTACCAAAGCCTTGCTACCATAGCCTTACTCTATCCTGACTTTGGACTACTGTAGTATCAGCAAGCAATAGCCTACTATCTAGTTTTTCTCTCTCTTATCCCAGCTTTCCACAGTGTATCTTCTGCAAGGCCAACAAAAGTCCTGCTAAACGAATTTTGGTAGTGTCATGTGTGTGCACACAAATATAACACACACACACACAAACACACACACACACACACACACACACACACAGACAGACCCAGTATTGATTTCTCAAGCATCATCCTTCTCTCCATTCCCAACAAATGTAACACTTTGCATTTTCTCATTCTTAGTGGTTTCTCCCTCTTTGCTTGTTCCCATTGTCCCCCCTCTCTGGAATGCCACATTCAAACTTATCTACCTGATAAATGCTTTAAGCTTCAGTCCTAAGAAATATATTTAACTATTTTAGATAAAATTGACCATATCGTGCTTTTTTACCCTTGCAGAAGTAACCACAGTTTAACATTAAACCTAGAATATTCAACTGAACTTAACATTTCTACTTACTATCTTGGCCATTTCGGGTTGCTACAACAAAATGCCACTTACTGGGAAGCTTTTAAACAACATAAATTTATTTTTCACAGTTCTGGAGCCTGGAAAGCCCAACAGAGCAATATTTGCATATGCAGTGTATGGTGAGAGACTACTTTCTGCTTCATATATGGCATCTTCTCATG